CCTTTTTTGGCAAATGATGTGCCTTCAAATTGGGATTTACAGGAAGGCTTATGGAAGAAGCGGGAGCTGGCTAAGGCGAGGAATCATTGGGAATATAATGAGTGGTGCAAGGCCGGTTTGTTATTGGATAAAGCCCTTTTTACAGGTGATGCTAATTATGTTCAACTTGCCAGATAAGTGGCGCTGGAAAGGGCTTATGTGGTTAGGGTGGCTGACAAGGATGGTTGGAGTGTAGCTGCAAAAATGACATCAGGTGATATGTCGGATCCAATGTCAGAGTTATTCAGTGGGAAACGTGAGAGAGCAAAGATGGCAGCGCAGTAGTTTCCAAGGAACAAACATTCTAAAGTTTCTTATGGACGAGGTTATTACTCGAATAATCAGCCACAGCCTGTGCAGGTTCAAGTTCCAAGCTTATATATGCCTTCGGGCATTCAGCCTCAACCATTTGTCTATCCGAATTGGCAACAGATATCTTCCCAGAGGATGTTCTGTCCTCCTCCTACGAATAATTATTGGGATGAGACACATTCGCGTGACCTGTCTGGTTCTTCTTTGGGTCAACAACCTTTTCATAATTCCTGGTCTCCGAATCCTTGGGTTGGCGCACATAAGCAGTTTTCGTCGTGTGACTCACCTGGAGCTGCATATAGGAATACAAGAATGCCTAATAGGTTTGCGTCTTCTAAGCAAATTGTATGTTACCTGTGTGAGGGAAAAGGGCATTATGCTAATGAGTGTGGGTCGAGGAAGCATATGAGTTCTTCCTTTCGTGACGAAAGTTCTGGACCCAAACGAAGCTGACTACACTCGGTTAGATGTGAATCTGGAGGTCAAGGATGGAAACGTGTTAAACTTGCCTCACTTCGTGACCGGGAGACTACACACAGTTTCGGCAGTTCGTTATTGGAAGTAAATTATAAAACTGGCTCCTGTGGTGGTGGAATGGTTAGAGAAGAGGGTTCCGCTTTTTCCAAAGGGTGTTATGAAGCTGGCATCTTTGCCAGTTCCTACCCAATGGCAGTTTTCAGTGGAAGAAAGGGATTGGGTGAATCGGGAGTTAGTCTGTTTAGAAGCATCTGGGGCAGTAGAATTGGTATTAAGAGGCAGTTCGAGGCCAGAGGTTCTCTTGGAAGTGAGCCCTGCGTTTGTGGTGCCCAAACAGGGTCCCAAAAAATTCAGGTTGGTTATTGACCTAAGGTGGTTAAACAGAACCTTACCCAAGAAGTCGTTCAAGTTCGAGGGGTTGGGAATCTTGTTAAGAACGATAGGAAGAAATTGGTGGGTTCTAACATTCGATTTGAAAGAGGGTTATCACCACTTGATGATGAACGATTTGGTGCAACGTTTTCTGGGTTTTGTGTTCGAGGAGAAGTGGTTTTACTACAAGGTGCTTCCTTTTGGTTTAAGCCAGTCCCCTTGGATATTTGCAAAAGTGATGAGGGCAATGATCGGAAGTTGGAGAGCCCGTGGTTTTTTTTGTGGAAATTACCTCAATGATGTTTAGGTTGCTAACCCGTCGAAGGAAATTTTGTTAAAGCAGAGGGAGGAAGTGATAAAGGTGGATTTGGAAGGTTGTGGATGGATCCGTGCCGTAGAGAAAGGCAGCTGGGACCCAGTTCGGAGAACCAAGTTTTGCGGCTTGGTAATAGATACACTGAATGGGTTGGTTGTTGCGTCGAGGAAAAAATCAAAGCAACGATTTTGCTGCTGAAGACCTTGTTGGAGACTCCGTCGGTTTTGGTTCAGAAGCTTGCTTCAGTTGCAGGCAAAATTCAAAGTTTAGCAAGGGCCTTCGCCCCTGCTCAAGTAAAGAGCTTGGAATTCTATTAATTGATAGATGCCAAGAGCCGTTTATTACATGAGTAGGACAAAAGTATAGTTTTGACGGGTCAAGCAGTGGAAGATATGCAGTGGCTAATAGAAAACTTAGAAAATTGGAATGGTCGTCCTGCGTGGAAGCCGTCCCGGGTGAGGATGGTGTTTGTAGATGCGTCTGTGGTCGGTTGGTGTGGAATTTATCAGAGCTTGGTTGCAAGTGGCAGTTGGGTGAAAAAACTGTCTGCAAACGTGATTGCACAACTCGAAGCTATAGCAGTTCTTCGGGTGTTACAATCTTTGGGGGATCAGTTGAAAAGATCAATAATAATGTTGATAATAGACAACAGGGTAGCCCTGAGGACGGTTCAGTATGTGGGCCAAGAAGATGGCAAAAGGACATTGCAAGAGAAATTTGGAATGTTTGTTTGGAGAAGGATATAGACATTTTTCAAGTTCGTTGGGTTCCAAGCGAGTACAATCTAGCCGACGATTTTATGCGGGTGTTAGATTCAGGAGATTGGTCTTTAAGAATGGATGTAGTGGAGTGGTTGGAGGTTCGTTGGGGAAAGTTCGATGCCAACAGATTTGCAAGTCATCTGAATGCCAAGATGAAAAGGTTCAACAGTCTGTATTTCTGTCCAGGTTCAGAAGCGGTAGATTGCTTCTCCCAGGATTAGAAAGTTGTAGTAAACTATCTGTGTCCCCCTTTGCAATGATTCACAGGGCTATCGCGCATGCCAAGGAATGTCAGGCGGTGATAATAATTATTGTTCCAATTTGGGTTGCCGCCCCCTAGTGGCCCTTAGTTATGGAAGCAGTAAGAAAAGAGGTGGATCTTCCTCCATCTGTGGAGATTATTCAATGGGCCCTTCGGGTTGCCTGGAACCTTGCAGAAATGAGCTTTGGAGATTGAAGGCGGTGCGAATAGATTGGTCTAAGAATGCTTAGTTCATGCGGAATGTTTAATTAAAAATTCTGTCAGTGAAGCATATAATAAGAGATTAGAGAGGGCGTGGAAAGTTTTTTCGTAATTTACTTCAAGAACAAATAGTTCTTCCTTACCTGCTTCAAGTTCTATAGTTTTGGCTTTTGTTGCCTGGATGGAGATGTTGGGGCATGTTTCTGAGCTGACAGTTTGCTTGTCGTCTGTTTCCAGGGCCCATAAAATCCAAGGCTGATGTGAACCGACAAAGGAAAATGCAGTTCAGTTTGCAGTGAATGGTTTTAGGAGATGTGCAGCTCAGTTTTCGGAAGTGAAGTGGCCTAGAGACCCTTTTCAGGTTTTGCCCCATTGAGAAAGTAGTGAATTACCTGAAAGTTAGACCTGTAATGAAGGGTAATGCACCATTGTTCTTGTCGAAGTCTAGAAAGAAAATGTCTGTTTCAGCTATCTTAGCAGTGGTTAAACGTTTTGCGGAACATGCTAAAATGAAGAGAAGGTTTATGGCTCACAGCTTGAGAATCGGAGGAGCCACAGTGGCTATGAAGGTTGGGTTATCAATGAAGCAGATCCAGACCATAGGCGGCTGGGTTTCAGATGCTGCAAGATTGTATATGAGGGCCATAGGTACTGTCAATTTAGATGCATCGATTGTTAAGGGTTTGAAAGGTAGTTTATTATGTGCTTTAAGAAGGTACAGATTAGTTGGATTTATTTGCTTAACGCAATTTATTGTTTTACGATGCTCTGCAAGTACCCATTTGTGTTTTCATAGTTAAATCCTGATATGAGAGACAAACAAATAACTGCTCGATACGTAAGTATCGAGCCAGTGTTTGTCTCGAATCAACCCGGGTTCAGGCATGTGACATGCCCTGATTACAGTCACATGTTTGATGGGAAGGTTTAGTAAGTATGAGGTAATTGTCTCTTTCGAGTATTTCATAGTTATGCGTTTAGTATGGCTATGAGGTAATTAGTAGGTAATTAGTAAGTAATCGATCAGTATAGTATAAATGGGTTACTTGGGTAATTATGAGGTAATCGGTGAGTAATCGTTGAGTATATTAGGGTCGTTAAGGTAGATAGGTAAAGATAACCTTGTTTCTTCTGCAATTACCCGATTTTAGATCTGGTTACTTCGATCCCACCCACCCTGCCCTAATCAAGGTACTCTTTTAAGTGACCTGTTGAAACGACAGTCATGCTGGGTTAAGCCGGGTGGGGTTAATATTTTGTTTTATGACCTGTCGAACGACAGTCATATGTTATGTTTTTCGCGTTACCTATTAAGTGACACAGTTTTTTCATTGACCTGTCAGAACGACAGTCATGTGATAGATATATAAGGAAACCGATCCTAGTTAAGCTACGCAGATTGCTCGATTAGCAGGAGAAAACCCATTTGTGTTTTCATAGTTAAATCCTGATATGAGAGACAAACAAAAAAATAAAATAAAATAAAATAATGATTAAACGTTCCGATTTCTAATTTTTTTCATATATTTTTTTAAACTTCAGATTAAACTTTAATATTATGTAAATTTTTATAAAAGATGTAATAAACTCTAATTTAAACTTATTAGTATTATTAATAAGTTAGAATTAGAGTTTATTACGTCTTTAATAAAAATTTACATAATATTAAAGTTTAATCTAAAGTTTAAAAAAATATATGAAAAAAATTAGAAATCGGAAATCACTAATTGTTAATCATAATCGGTTTTTTTTTTTTGTTTTTTTTTTGATATGCAAAATTTACAAAATTTTGCAAACTGCAATAATCGATTAGTCAATTAACCAACTAATCGATTAATCGATTAGTCGATTAGTGTCGTGCTGTGGACCAGTACCCTGTATACTATGTTCGTGGAATGTTGGACGTTATAGGCTTGGACTTTGATTGTGAACTGTGTTCACGATATCACGTGACCACGTGATCGGGTAATTCGATATGATGGGCAGGGTAATAAGTGTAAATC